CTTCCGTCCAAAAACAAATCCTGTGAAATGACATGAACACATACTGGAGGAGTTACTGGCTAGCTACAAGTGGCTAGCTTAGCTAACAAACTAGCTATGTTGGTCGCGGCGCACATGACCAGAATCACACATCGATGAACCACAAAAGGCACACCCCATTTCTTTTTTTCGTGCCCAAAGTTGACCATTAAAGCTAATTTCCTGCAATTCTATACATTTTGACATTGCTTGTGACGTGTTCATATACTATCTGGGTTGCCCCGACCCCCAGGGGGCCCACAAACCCCCCAAATAATATATACATATATACATTTTAATATATACATATATACATTTTAAATAAATTATTGGGGGGGACAGTCGACCTTTTCAGAATATGGGGGGGGGAGGACGACATGCCCCATCCCCCGCGGCAATTTCGCATATGCTCCCATGGCCTTTTCCAAACAAGTTCTTGGTGTGGTGTTTTCTCAAATTTGGCAGCTACATGATTTTACAGCTGTCATTTCAACATAAGCTGTAGTAGAGAAAGTTTTTATAAAAACCCACCCCCTCTCTCTGAGCGCCTCTCTCTCCCTCTCCCTCTCCCTCAGTCATTGCGCGGGTCGAGTAAACCCACAGTTTAGTGCTGACTATGGTTTACAGAACATCTGCCAGCAGCACCATTGTACCACAGTGCAGCTGTCACCATTACTTAATCCGCATTGGTTTGCAGCAAAAAGCAAATTGAGCAAGACAACTCAACAGCGCTGAACACATACGCCCTAGTCATCGATTCAGAACGGTCAGAGGTGGACTTTGTCCACCATTTTTTGACTCTTTTGGGGAATACTAAAGAGGAGGATACGCAATTTGGAACATGTTACTGGAAAAATTGGTACGGTAAAATTGTTGCATAATTGTTGTATTCTGAAATGTAGTCTTGAAATTCTTGGACTTCTTTTGGACAACCTGACAAAATGCAAAATGCTTCCTTGCAACAGATTGATTCGTGTAGGGAAGAAATTGTTCTTTGAATAGTATAGACAGGCGTCCAGATTTTGCATGCGAGCTATAACAAAACGTATGTAATTATTCTTCCTAGGCATTAACATATTGTCTTAAACGAAAATAAACAATTGATGAATAGCCTAATTGTCGGTAGGCTATAGTCTGTAAATAGTGGCACACGCACTTGTTTACCCGGGAAAGTAAACATGTTAATTGGCTAATGATTAATATTTTGTCATGTAAGGCTCCATTATGTTCTGTGACTAATTATTGTCCATACATCTTAATTGATGCCAGCTATTTTTTGAATGTTTCAACTGAAACTGAATAGGCAGGCCTATGTGTCAGATGTATCAGTTTAACTGCAACAGTTCAGATGAACTTGAAACAATATTGATGCAAATGAGTGACAGGAATCGTCTGTTCAGATTGATTAGCCTATAATTAATCACATTCATTTAAGTCTTCTCTTACTTGACTTAATTATCAGCAAAATTTCACATATGAAAAGATTGGTTTCAATAGCCGAGCAAACTTGTACAAAAACAAATAACAAAATCTAATCAAATACACATGATTCAGGGATCAACTTACAAAGATTATTAAAGACAAAGGGCTTGTTTGGATTGAACTAATTTCAAGGATTGTTTATATTACACTACCTCGTTCAAAATACATCGAACATGGGGATAGTTTTTAAAAAGCGATATTTGTGTATGAAATATTTTGCCATGATAATAAAGTTACTATACATAAATTCAGCTTTTCTGTCCTCCATTAGAAAAACAAACCTCTCTTCAAACTGCGTCAATCCGTGGGCTGTTTGTGGAATAACAAAAGGCAACCAACCACTTGTTGTGATGAATTTTAAGGAGTACATCAAGCAAAAAAAAATATTACGTTCCTCTCTTCAAGGATTGTTTAATCATATTTCAAGCTCAACACATACATACACTAGTAACAGAATATTTGTCAATATGAAGGTACTATGGTCAGACCAGAGGCAAATATAGGCTATAGGTCAAATACTTTAAAATAGCCTATTTGAGGTGCTCTTGATTTTGCTGTAAATGTACAGTGTAGGCTAAATCATGCTCAGCTTGAGTATTTGAATGTAGTTGACATCAACCAGTATACAAATATCTAAGTTGTCACAGTACCTACCTATAACTGGTATCTTCGCACTAGTAGAAAATTATTTTGGGATTTGTTTGAATTCATCAGGTGGATTACCTGATGGTCTAGTCTTGACTCCTTGATGCTGATGTTGCGTGAACAGCTTTAGGATGATGTCTATCTCTTATTCTCAGGTAGTTGTTCTCGTCGCACTCCTTACGGGATCCAGTGTTAGTGTGGCATATGTCTTTCAAGCAAGTCGACCTGGAGAAGATGCAGGATCTCCGCCACAAACCAAAAGTGAGACATGAATCAATGTGTTGACATCTGGCCTTTCCTGCCCTGACACTCAATTGGATAATAATGGTTTTATTACAGTAGAATAAAATAGAGGATAATATAACTGTCCCTTCGAGGATGGAAATTGTCCTATGGCATCACCACTGTTCATTTTCTTCCATATTTTTCTGGTACAGTAGGCTAATATACTTACAGTAGTAACCCAATATTTAAGATTGACGTTACATTTTCTGCAGCCTGGTCGCCTTAGCCTTCGTCTTGTCATAACGCCAGAGCTTATTATGTGCAACACACAAACTGTGTTTTCTAGTGAATATGGGATCTGTATTAGGACACATCCATGGAAGTTGTGTCAGAGTCACATGGAGTTGGCATGTCTCTTTAGCATTGTGATAATGGTGTTCTCTTGTCCCAGCTATTTCAGACTCCCTGTGGGTTAGCTCAGCAGGATCATGTACGGGCAGATGTTTTGAATTGGAGGAAGCTTTACCGCCAGGTTGCAGATGTGACAACTTGTGCAAAACCTACTACAGCTGCTGCTCAGATTTCGATGAGCACTGTTTAAAAACAGGTTTGTGTACCAGCTTGTCTTTTAACTATTTTCTCTTACTGTATATCTTACTGTGGTGCTATGGTATAATTAAGCAATAAGGCCCGAGGGGGTGTAGTATATGGCCAATATACCACGACTAAGGGCTGTTCTTAAGCACGACGCAACACGGAGTGCCTGGATACAGCCCTTAGCCGCTGTATAATTGCTGTATACCACAAACACCCGAGGTGCCTTATTGCTATTATAAACTGGTTACCAACATAATTACAGCAGTAAAAATAAATGTTTTGTCATACTCTTGGTATACGGTCTGATATACCATGGCTTTCAGCCAATCAGCAATCAGGGCTCGAACTGCCCATTTTACAATCCCCAATATGCACAGATTATAACCATCCACTACTGTTGAAAATAATGTACACCAAATTACACAATGGCTGATATTGAATTTGCTTTCTGATTGATTTGTGTGCATGAGTCATGACTATGGTCCTGTTGTAGCTAGTTGTTGGTGCTGAATACAGGCTGTTATGTCCCTTCCCTGGTGCAGCGGGTGGCTTTGAGTGCAGTGAAGATCGCTGTGGGGAGACCAGGAATGATGAGCATGCATGCCACTGCTCAGAAGACTGTCTGGAGAAAGGAGACTGCTGCACCAACTACAAAGCCCTCTGCAACGGTACACACTCAAACTAGGGATGTATGAAAGATGTATTCACTGTTGAAGAAAGTGAATTTAGGTCAGTTCATTCCGTATTGGGACCCAAATGGCAAGGCAGTTGGTTAGAAGGTGACGTAGGATGTGGGCTTTGGGTTCTTGTCTTGCATTTTCCTTTGGACAGAAGTGCATTAGCTTCACATATGTTGTTTGCTCTACAATGAACCGCTAAAAAGTGCAAGCTGTGAGTCGCATATACAATGTTACTTTTGCATTCTACATGGTATCGAAAGGAAATTTGAGGAGAATTCTTCTTTTGAATCAAATTCCGATGCACCGGCAACAGACAATTTTACTAGATCATGTGCTAAACTTTAAATTTTCAAATTCTCCTATTGCAGAAGACACTAAATGGGTGGACGATGAGTGTGAGGAGATCACAGGCCCTGAATGCCCTGCAGGGTAAGTTTGAATCAAAAACCCAATAAATGTTTTCTTATTATTTATGATTTTATCCTTAGAAACAGTGACAATGGCTTTATGGTCTGGGGAAAGGGGCAGCAGTTGAGCAGACACCTCCAACTTGGACTGGAACCAGTAGCCCTGTGGGTACCTTTTGACCTAACACTACTAGGCCATATGGTTCCCATAGAATTTGTGTAAAATAAAGAAGTGACATCACGTCAACAGTTAATTTTCCATGACAGCTTTACAGTATTTGATCGTTATTCACAGTTTTATCCGCCCTCCTCTGATCATGCTGTCGGTGGATGGGTTCCGGGCCTCCTACATGAAAAAGGGCAAAGCGGTGATCCCCAACATGGAGAAACTACGTAATTCACTCCCACTCACATCCTGACACTAGATAGGCCATACTGTAGCTAATGGTGTTGAAGGCAGAAAAGGTGAAGTACCCAGGCAATTTGCATGGCAATCACATTTATTTTATAAAGTCGTTTTTTACATTAGCAGTTGTCACAAAGTGCCTTACAGATACCCAGCCTAAAACCCCAAAGTGCAAGCAATGCAGAGGCAGAAGCACAGTGGCTAGGAAAAACTCTCTAGAAGGCATAGGGGTCTACTCTACTCTACTCTACTATTATGTTTATGATCAGAATGGATGTGTTTAGATTTCAAGCAGTGTGATGAAAGTTTCTAGGCTACTGATCATTGGCTCATTTATTTCCATATAGGAACATGTGGCACTCATGCACCCTACATGCGACCGGTGTACCCCTCCAAAACTTTCCCCAATTTGTATACTCTTGCCACGGTATGTTTACTTATTCTGATGCCATATGAATATACCACTGTTTTATTGAAACTTGAAATAAAATATGTTTTCAATTAGATGGTTTCCAATACATTTCTATATACATTGTAACAACTTTACAATAACATTGTAACAACTTTTAAACAGATCATTGTTTCAATTATGTTTCTCTGGTAACTCTGTGAGTTGTGATGTTTTTAGGGGCTTTATCCAGAGTCTCATGGAATAGTGGGCAACTCCATGCATGACCCCGTGTTTGACGCCAATTTCAACCTGAGAGGGAGGGAGAAACTGAACCACCGCTGGTGGGGTGGCCAACCTGTGAGTGTATAGATACTGTCAAATTCTTCACAGTTACACAGTTTTTAAACTTAGGGAAATACACCAATATTTGTGCAGAATCACAATTACATTTGTAGTGTAAGATAACAACTTGGAGCAGTATCAAGTGGTTAGGAATGGATAAGATAATAAGTGAATGGATTTTTTGCATACTGTATGCCTCATGTTTTATATCTGAGCTTGGAACATTGCCTGTTTCCCTGTATGTCTGTAGATCTGGATCACTGCGGAGAAGCAAGGGGTGAAGGCAGGCACCTTCTTCTGGCCATGGTGAGTTAACTTGGTCACTTTGTCAATGACTATTTCGACCTTCAACTACAGTGGCCTGTTAGAGCAAAATGAAACCCGTCGATTGAGGAACCCGTGCGTCAATTAATAAAAAAAATTTAAAAATCCCCATCAAAATCTGTCTGTTTAGGCTAGAGATATCAGTTTATAACTGTAGCTTATATCTTTGTATGGGCTGCGTCTCAATCCACCGCATCCGCCTATGTCTGCCTTCCGCATCTGCGGTGGAAAGTGCCAGCGCTACAGCACTGTTTGTCAGACCAGGAGACATCCCAAAAATCTAATATTGAAAGGGGAGACCCTCACGAACATGATGGTGTCACAGGACTCATCTGAAGGTAACCCGGTACCAGTTTAAAAAATGACTGGAAGTATGGAAGTTGTTATTTTACTTGTGAAATAATGCAAATCATTTGCATATCTATGACCTAATAAGCACGAGGGAGGTGGTCCTTCCTACACCACATCTTTACAAACAATACCCCCCATACAAGCAGACACATTGTCCATTGAGCTTTCAAAGCATGGTAGCGTAGAGCCCAGCTTGTTTTGCTAGCTAGTTTAGCTAATTAGTATATACACATGAGAGCCACGTGTTAGACTGCCAGACGAACACTTTGGTGGATATTTCTACGTTTTGACACCCTTTTGGGTTTTTGCAAAAATGTTTTACCCCATAACATGTAGTTATTCTAAACCATGAGATACCGGCAAGTATACTTGACTGACATGTCTGTGTTGTTGCAGGGTGATTCCACTGGAGAGGAGAATCCTGACCATCTTACGTTGGCTAAGTCTTCCTGACGATGAGAGGTTAGATATTCATCCCCAATGCTCATTTAATATTAACATTAACTTGTGCCAAACTCACTTCCACCAATTTTCCCAACCAAATTTCCCCAAAACACTCAGAGATGGACTAATTTGGGGGGGGGGGGGTGGGGGCATTAATATATATAAGAGCATTAATAGATACTGAATAGAGAAGCAAGCTACTGTACTGTACTGAGGTCAGTGGTTGAGATGTGTGTCTGTGTGCTGTCTTTAGGCCCTATGTATATGCTGTCCACTCAGAGCAGCCCGACACGTTCGGACACAGACTGGGGCCCTTCAGCAACGAGGTGAGCGCCTCTGATTGGGCCAGAGATAACCTCATCCCCAGGCTCGAATTGGTTCGACAGAGAGAGCGAGCGAGAGCCGGCTGGTGGACGCAATTAGGCCAGAGATGGTTCATGGTTGCTATGGGGCGGGGTGGGTGTTGGGGAGGATGTGTCACGTAAGAGCCTCATCTTAATGGGCTAAAGAGCTAAATCATGTTGCGCTCTCTAACTTAAACATTGATACTGTAAATACAGGTAAAATGTTATCATGAACCACAATTGACAAAGTCCAGAGATTGTTCTTGAGGCATGACTTACTGTAGTAACCATTGTGTGTTTTGTGTGCTGTAGTTGGACAACCCCCTGAGGGAGATTGATAATGTCATTGGTCAGCTGATGAACGGCCTGAAGCAGATGAACCTACACCGCTGTGTCAACATCATCGTTGTTGGAGACCATGGTATGGAAGAACGGACCACAAGGACCACCATTTTGAATTGTATCTGCACTAGCCTATGTCTACTCTGGTTAACTGACTTAACACCAAAACCTGATGTCTTTCCCTGATGTCTTGATAACATTGTGAAAATATCCATATTTACCTTGTTGTAATCTGATGTCTCTGCAACCAGAAAACCATTTTACAAGCATAAAATGATGTTATTTTGATGTCCCATGTCAACTTTTGTTCCATGGGAAATATTTACTAACCTTGGCTTATGCGTAACTTATCTCTTTCTCCCCCTAGGAATGGAGGAGGCCCACTGTGATAGGACTGAGTTCCTCAGTACCTATCCTGTGAACGTGGATGAGATCAATCTGATCCCTGGATCTCTTGGGAGAATCCGGGCCCGGGATCCCAAATCAACCACCTGTGAGTTACACAGTACTGTAAGAGAATGGACATAGCAGGCTAGATTCATGAACTAGAATGTGTTCACACATTTATTTCGTTCTAGTTAATTTTTTCCTATGTATCTGTTTGACTTTTTATGTTTACTTTTTTCAGATGACCCAAAAGTAGTTGTGGCAAATCTTACAGTAAGTGCACATGAAAAATGAACAAAACTAAACAATTATTATGTTTTTGTTAGATATTTTGCTGGCTGTGTAGAACTTACAGTAAGTAATCTACGTGTGGTCACAGAGTCCATGTAATGACCTTGTTTTTCAGTGTAAAATGCCAAACCAGCACTTTAAGCCTTACTTGAAACAACATCTCCCGAAACGGCTTCACTACGCCAACAACCGCAGAATTGAGGCTGTCCACTTACTCATGGAGAGAAAGTGGCACATTGCCAAGTACTGTATTTTTCTACACTACTAGTACTATCAACTCAACTAGATTAAGTTAAAAAGCGTTATATGGAATTTGGGGACGAATTGGTATTTGTGTAATGCTTTTTATTTTGTATATTCTTTCTATGTGATGCAGGAAAGTGCCTGAAAACAGGAGGCATCCTGGGAGATGTGGTTTCTTTGGTGACCACGGATTTGACAATAAGATCACCAGTATGCGGGTAAACCCCTTAAATTAACATTCTGTCAGTGCAACATTTTTCACATATTGTATTCTTAGCTGCTTGTGCTTACATTGTTTCCAATGTTTGTTCCCTGTATAGACAATCTTTTTGGGCTATGGACCAAGCTTTATGTTCCAGACAAAAGTGGCAGAATTTGAAAATATCGAGTTGTACAATGTCATGTGTGGTACGATTTCTTTCTGTACTTATTAAGTGCTATTATGAGCTTATTTGTTGCCACCACTGATTACTCTGAAACCAATATTTACAAGAGATATTTAATAACTAGGAAATATAAAGTTTCTGTGGAAATGTCCATCTCATATGCCCTTTCTCAGACCTCCTGGGCTTGACCCCTGCCCCTAACAATGGAACCCATGGCAGTCTGAATGACATGCTGAAAGCCCCTCCTTTCACACCCATCATGCCAAAAGAAGTGACCGCACCCACCACCTCTGACACCACCTCTGCCATAACCTACGACCTGCGATGTAGCTGTGACAATGAGGTCAGTGGTGAGGTCATGAGTGGAAACCTGAGGTCAGTGGTGAGGTCATGAGTGGAAACCAACTCAAAGTGTTTTATAATATAATAATATAATATGCAATTCAGCAGACGCTTTTATCCAAAGTGACTTACAGTCATGTGTGCATACATTTTTACGTATGGTTGGTCCCGGGGATCGAACCCACTACCCTGGCGTTACAAGTGCCATGCTGTACCAATTGAGCTACAGAGGACCAGGGTTGGGATCCATTCCAAAGAGCAATTTCTCAAGCAAGAATTTAGCTAGGTCTGTCTGGGACTGGTCTGAGTAAGGGAAAACTGAAAACGAGCTGTTATTGGCAGAGAGGTTTGGAACTCTCTTTCTTATTGGTCTAATAACTAATTTATCGCCTGGTGATGCCACTGGGCATGCCAAAACTCCATCCCACTAAAACAGGCTGAAATTTCAGGAAGTCTTTTCAAACAGCTCTTACACTAAAAGGGCATTATCATAATTGTCACAATTTCACAGTATTATTCCAACCTCATAGTGTGGAAATATATATATATATAAAACAAAGGAAAATCACATTTTTGACTGCACTGGGCATTTAAGGTCTCTGTTCCTCTGTTTCAGAACAAAGTAGAGGAGAACAATCAGAGATTCAGCCCAGCAGCAGATGGTAAGTGTCTATCTTTTAGAGTGTGTTCCGTTATAGTTTACTTAAAGTGATAGTTAACTTTTTTGACGTTTTAGCTTATTTTCCACTTACCTAGGGTGTTGTGGAGACATCCAAACCATTTTTAAGTTTGTTAGCTGGTAATTTATCAACCTCCAGAATCTTCTGGCTAACAGTTTATGTGAAAGATTGTATCAGTTAGCAGTGCATTCAAAAGTATTATAACTGGCCTAGTCTGACATGAAACGCGAAAAATGCTAATATTGGGGATATTGACATGCATTGGTTTTTGGACACAAATGGCCAGGGAAACAAAACCAAAGCATGGATTGCTGTCTTACCTTGTCCATAAACTGCTCACTGGGTAAGGAAACTATGTTATTTTGTAATTTGGGTGAACTATCCCTTTAACTATTCTTAAACTCATACCCTGACTTTCCCGCTTACTGAGTGACTAAGAGCTTAGCAACTGCCTGATGTGTAACCGGTGGCACTGTGTGACTTAACAGCTTTGCTTCCTCGCTCACACGTCCGCTACTGGGATTGATCTTGTGTCTTCTGTTTCCCATACACATGTGACCACCCTCTCGTATCACGTCCATGACGCTGGTGGGGGTATTTCAAGCTGAGTTGTGAGCTTTATCAACTAAACTCGGTTACACTCGCCCCTCTCAGTCCATAGCAACCCCAGCCGTTGAGCTGAGTGCAACTGCAGATCCGGGGGCACGGCACCACTGTAACCGGCGGCATGCTACTTGCTTAACAGCTTTGCTTGTCAGCTTTGCTTCCTCGCTCACAAGCCCACTCTGTCTCGCAAATACACGTGACTGTCCTCTTAAAACACCTTAGCCAGCTTAGCCACCGAAAAGCAATTAAATGGCACAGGTGGTAGTGTTTCAAGCTGAAGCTTTATCAACTCAACTCGGTTACAGACGCACCATGACAATGTGAATGTGATTGGTTGAGAACCCGTAGTGCAGAGCGTTTACACTTTGTACACACGTTCATTTTCCACTCCTGAGTGTCTCCAGCCAGCTCCAACACATTTCCCCCATGCTTTTGAATGCACTAACTAATGCAAATGCTAATGCTAATACTAATGCTAGTGTGCTAACTGACACAATCCGTTTCCACTAGCATTGCTACATGCTCCAAAAACACTAGCCAGGGGATTCTGGACGTTAGTATTGAACCAGCTAACGAACTTAGAACTTTGGATGAAACAATAACACTCAGGTAAGTCGAAAGCTAAAACAAAAACAAAAAACTATCCAGTTTGTTAACCAGCACTTGACCAGCATCATATCAGTGTCTACATGTGAAAACATATTTTTTACATTCTGTAATTAAAAAGATGAGAAGAACCAGAAAATTGCAATATGCATGCAACATGCAATATTCAGACAATATAAAATAAAAAGAGTACTATACTGTAGAATTAAAATACAAAGTGACTGATTTCGAGCCCAGGTTAACTACTGCCCTCCTTGCTTGATGAATTGGTGTTTTCACAGACGCCACACACCTCCCCTTCGGTCGACCAGCGGTTCTTTTCCAAACGACGTATAGCCTCCTCCTCCACAGTGACTTCATCAGTGGATACAGCCAGGAACTCTCCATGCCCCTATGGACGTCATTCACAGTGCCCAAACAAGTAGGCTATTCATCACATGGAACACAAGAAATGAAACTGACCTCGAGTCATTTAATGACTCGATCCATATGATTTGAGAGCTTATCCTCAGACCTGGGGCATGTTGATTCGTTGATCAGTGGTTGCAGAATGGTTTTTGAATTGTGACCCACATAAGGCTTGTTACCCACAGAATAGACACACAAAAAAATAGCATAGCCACAGCCCAATATTTTTCATAATTTCATCATTAATAACGTTTGGTCAGGGACTGGCTATGACCTACCAGTCTGTCCGGAGCCACCATTTGGGAAACATTGCATTAGGTCATATCTTTTCAAAGCTCTTTTGAAATGTCTCTGTTTACTTGAATGGTTGCAGTGAGTAGCAAGTGTGAAAACAATTAGTATGTGTGAAAACAATTAGTAGTCCTGTTGGGAGATCGTAAATGTTATTTTGGTATTTGACTCAACTGGTTAATTGCATTTTGTATTAGAATGAGCGTGGTTTTGCTTTATTGGGGGGAGAGAGCCTGGATAGGGACTTGCGTAACACTAACCTAACAGAACCCTATACAGATCTAGACACGATCCAGCACACAAATATCAAATAATGACATGGCCCCAATCACATACAGCAACACTGTATTGGGTGTTTGTATACCACTTCTCTCTCATTTTACGATGGGATTTCACAATGTGTTACTAATGACAACGTGTTCCCTTCCAGGATGAAGTCACACCCATCCCTGAGCCTGAGCCAGTGAGTAAGTGTGTGAGAGCAGACATGCGGGTCCCTCCTGAACACAGCCTGGCCTGCACCACCTACAGCCAGGACACCGACATCTCCTATGGCTTCCTCTATCCACCAGGTGGGTCGCACACTAGCCCACCCTGGGTCATGTTCATTAAGGCACACTGAAGCAAAACATTTTGCAATGCAAAACGAAAACAAGCGTATCTTATTGGACAAGTTCAGACAGTATCTCTCGTTTCACTTATTTTCGTACCTAATGAAGATGACCCTGGTCTTGGGGAGCTACAGGGTGTGCAGGCTTTTGTTCCAGGCCTAAATGGGAGGTAAATTAAAGTATATGTTTGTATTTTTTATGCTAGAGCTGGCCATGTCTCCTGAATCAAAATATGATGCATCACTGATCACGAACACCGTTCCCATGTACCCTGCATTCAAAAGTGAGTATTCATTTATTTTTATACAACAGGTGGTTTCTCGTGGCTATGACCACTTCATAGCCATGATAAAAATGTCATAACACATGGCCTCTCATGTATTATTGCTTGAATGTATACTTATAATAATTTATTTATCTTTTTTATTTGTATATCCAACCCCTTTGAAAATGCTGGTTCAAATGCTTTATAAATCTGGCACTGCGTTTTGTTAAGCAGTTTGTAGTTATAGGTTCTCTAAGGAGATCCTTGTTGCTCACTTTCTGTTTTTCTCTGGTTGATGCTTCCCTGCAAAGCTATTACAGTTACCAATCACATAGTATATAGTACATGTGGCCCTCTGTGACTCTTGTGCTGCATCTTTGCTTGGACTGGCCATGCTAATGTGTGGAGGGAGAAGTAGGAGGGTGAGTGAGGAGGGAGGCTAGTCTGATGACCTCAGGTCTGGGAGAGAAGGGACAGGCTGACACCCATTGTCCTCTCACTGGAGAGAGATGTCCAGTACCCGCACACACACGCACGCACACACGCACGCACACACGCACACACATACACACAAAGAGAGAGCCTCAGTGAAGCCTGGTGGTGAATGATTATAGAGAAGGATGTGAAGGGGAGTTCCCTTGTCTGGGGAGTTTTAGTGCAGGGCATGACTTGTACTTCTTCTTGAAGGAATGTGCATCAAGATCAGACCAGCCTTTGGCTTTTGAGATGCATACAAGGTGCCCTGCTATAATTCACAAGGTGTAATAGCACATTAATAACAAGTATTCACAAAATGCTATACACAGATGCAGTATAGAGAGTATTTTTCAAGGCTGGCTATAAGCATTAATTTCAGTTCATGATTTCTTATAACCTCCTAAATGCATTCATGCAACAGGGGATTTACAGACAATGTTAGCTAACATTTGTTTTGGTTCTTCAACTAACATTTGTCGTTGTCCTTCAACTCTGCAGAAGTATGGAGCTACCTCCAGGGGACTCTTCTCAAGCGCTACGCAGAGGAGAATAACGGCATCAATGTGGTCACCGGTCCCATCTTTGACAACAACTACGATGGCCTCCGGGACACCACCGTGATGATCAAAGAGTAAGGACTCAGACCAATAGCGTTTGCACTTAGCACCTCTGAACGTAATTTGCGAACCGAGTGTGCACCGATTTTACATGGAGAATCCCATGAAAAATGTAGGCAGTCAGATATCCCTAAAACATAGCTCGCTGAACGATCGGTAGACGAATGCTAGATTCACATTACTGCAGTGGGCTAAATCAGGGTCACACAGAGTGATTCTTTGAAACAAAAGTATACACTTCACATACATACTGTAGCTAGGGGCTTAAAAAAAGAAGACACCAGTACCATGTCAGATATAGAGTAGAAATGTATTCAATTTTGATTTTGCATCCCAAAATTACACTTTATATACTGTACATCACAGGAGACTGAAATATAACAAAACTATTTGACATAGAAACACCGGATTTGATTTGTAAAAAAAACATTATTAATTATGAAATTATGAAAAATATTAATAACATTCCACCCATGAGGCCAAAGAGGGCGCATTTGGTAATTGACTGCAGAAAAAAGGGCTACAGGTGACAGGTAGTGATGGGGGAAAAATACTGTTACATATCACAATTCTATTTTTGGAAGATATTATATCTATATTTGACTCCCAAGTATCAATTTTGCTACTATAGGCAGTGGTAGGTAGCTGTAGGTATTGTTAGCTAGTGCTAGTCGGCTGTACCTGCCCCAAAACGCCGGTATTTTTCATCCTATAGCTTGTTCTCCGGCTTTAAAAAAATAGTGAGCCAACATGTTTTCAGCACTTTTATTTCCATGACTGATCAAAACTTGTTTTCTCATGCTCTCTCTTGTCTCTCTGCAGCAGACATATGGTGAGCAATATGTTATGTCGTGAGAATTGCAATACAAATTGTATTGGCACCTAAGTATCGTGATAATATAATATCGTGAGGTCCCTGGCAATTCCCAGCCCTAGTGACAGGTCAAGGTGTTGCCCTTTGACCTGTGTTTGTAAGATGTTACAATCAAAGGGGATCATGTTTTGTGTTATTGTATTTTTATGTTCATATGGTTATGGCTGTTCAACTGGAGTGATCTGGATTCATTTGGGGTTTTACATAATTAATCAAGGGTCTCCAACAGGTCGATTGAGAGCTACCAGTAGCTTGCAGACCACCTATGAGTAGCCGCCAAACAATCATATGAAACTACATGCAATTTTCACGTGTTCCACCGCAAACTGTCGTAAACAAATCTGACAAGTATCAGACACAGCAAGCTCCCAGCTACTATCTAACCAATGCAACATTGACATTGTCCCACCCCTGGTTTGCCACTATTGGCTTAAAAAGCAAACCTAACACAATATCTGCCTATTAATTTACAGCAATATTGCCCCTTTCTGTCTGTGTGGTGCGGGCGTTTGTCTATCACACCGTTTGTAGCCAGGAGTGATGGGTCTTTCGTGAACAAACAGCTCTTTTTAAACGTCTCTTTTAGGTAAGAGAATCGCATATGTGAACGAGCCGTTCATTTGGCTCCCTGATTTGCATACTTTTACTATTGCTTTTTGAGCTCCAGACATCGATTATCTGCAGATAAATTATACAAACATTGTCTGAAGATGGTAATTCCTCAGTGCAGTAACAATATAGTGAAGAGAGAGCCTCATTCTGGTTCACGCACATTTTTTTCAGTGCGTTGTAACTGGCATGCTGTTTTTATACAGTAATACCGTTTTTTTTATCGCTTTGGTGCAATTTTCACAAGTATGTGGTACATTTTCCCAACTCTTAGTACAAAACTATAAATGATCATCAAAAAGGCAGTTGTTTCAAAACTCTAAACAAACGTTCAATTGACTAAGTACAACACACAAAATCATAGTCACTTTTTCACCAAATGTAATCAGTGTTTCATCTAGAAATACATGTTTCAGATTGCAATGTTCATATAAAGTAATTACCTTTCACAATTCAAAGCTCACTTTACTTTTGATATGATTCTCTTCTCTTTTGTTAAAATACATTTTACTATTACTTAATCCGACTGCTTTTAATTGAAATCCAAGCCCTTAGCCATGGTATATTGGCCATATATCACACCTCCTCTGGCCTTATTGCTTAAATGCACTACTATGATGATGACTATTTAGATTTTATTTTAAATCTGATATTGACAAGATCAGAAATGCTTGTGTTTGTACAGTGGGGGAAAAAAGTATTTAGTCAGCCACCAATTGTGCAAGTTCTCCCACTTAAAAAGATGAGAGAGGCCTGTAATTTTCATCATAGGTACACATCAACTATGACAGACAAAATGAGAAAAAAAATTCCAGAAAATCACAGGCTCCTCTGTCCTCCACTCGTTACCTGTATTAATGGCACCTGTTTGAACTTGTTATCAGTATAAAAGACACCTGTCCACAACCTCAAACAGTCACACTACAAACTCCACTATGGCCAAGACCAAAGAGCTGTCAAAGGACACCAGAAACAAAATTGTAGACCTGCACCAGGCTGGGAAGACTGAATCTGCAATAGGTAAGCAGCTTGGTTTAAAGAAATCAACTGTGGGAGCAATTATTAGGAAATGGAAGACATAAAAGACCACTGATAATCTTCCTCGATCTGGGGCTCCACGCAAGATCTCACCCCGTGGGGTCAAAATGATCACAAGAACGGTGAGCAAAAATCCCAGAAGTGTACATACACTCAATTAGTATTTGCTAAATGATGTAAATGTAAATGTTAATATTTGGTAGCATTGCCTTTAAATTGTTTAACTTGGGTCAAACGTTTCGGGTAGCCTTCCACAAGCTTCCCACAATAAGTTGGGTGAATTTTGGCCCATTCCTCCTGACAGAGCTGGTGTAACTGAGTCAGGTTTGTAGGCCTCCTTGCTTGCACACGCTTTTTCAGTTCTGCCCACAAATGTTCTATAGGATTGAGGTCAGGGCTTTGTGATGGCCACTCCAAGTTTGATGTCTTCACTATCTACAATGTAGAAAATAGTAAAAATAAAGAAAAACCCTTGAACGAGTAGGTGTGTCCAATCTTTTGACTGGTACTGTATGTCAGACTTGGATTCGCCGGGTTTTTCCACAGGTGCATGAACAATGAGGATATTTACTGCGATTTGGATGAGAACCAATGGCCAAATGCTCAAGACAGGCTTGATGCAAACTAGTGCCTGGAAAACCTTTATTTTTTCATTTCTTTACTTTGATTACATTGTGAAAGATGTCTTCAATGATCCCACCTTTGATCACACATGGGATAGAAATTATGGACATTTGATGTTCAGTAAATTTTTATGGGTAGTGCAAGTGTATTGCCTAATGTGAAAACAGTGTAATGTACTGTAATGTACAGTACTGTAGCATACTACATTAAAAGGGCAATTTTGAAACATGTATCTTACATGTTTTGCTATTGGATTAACTGGTTGTTAAAATAACTAAATTGAGAAGATATCATTATGCTGTGTTTTGGTGATTAGACCAATGTACTCATTATATTTCACAGTAAACATTTTGGATCAATGGCTGTGTGGTGAAAGATGTCTACAAACAAAATGAATGCACAATAAAACGTTTTGAATGTAAGACTGGCTCCGTAACAAGTGTTACCAGTTTGGAGTTTTGTACTAAGAGTTTAGAACATTCACCACACAATTATGAAAATAGTAGCAAAGCGATTAAAAAAACTAACACCAACCAGGTCAGGTTTGTTTTTGTGCCTGCAACAGTGCGTCTTTCTGTGTAAATGGAAAGGGGGATACGTAGTCAGTTGTACAACTCAATGCATTCAACCAAAATGTGTCTTCTGCATTTAACCCAACCCCTCTGAATCAGAGAGGTGCAGGGGGCTACCTTAATTGACACTATCAGCACTCAGGGAGCAGTTCTTGTTGGGGGTTAACTGCTTTGCTCAAGAACGGCAGAATTTTCACCTTGCCGGCTCTGGGAATTGAACCAGCGACCATTTGGTTACTGGCCCAACGCTCTTAACAGCAAGGCTACCTACCGCCCTTCCGGGTGTGGTGTTTGTGTGGGTGTTTGTGTGCTTGCCTGTATCTTCATAAAAGTGACTGCTAATGACTGTGACCCCCAGGTACGCCGCAGTCTCGGCTCCGGTCCCTACCCACTACTATGTAGTGATCACCAGCTGTCAGGATGTCAACCAGACGGTCGAGGTGTGTGACGGCCCCCTCAATGTCTTCTCGTTCCTCCTACCCCACCGCATGGACAACGACGAGAGCTGCAAGGTAATTCTCTCACCACATGGGGGTACTATGTCTATGACTATCTATCTGCTTGAAGAAGCCTATGTAAGTAATTGTCATTAACCACAGATCTAGAATCAGGTTATCCTACCGCCAACCACAGTGCACAACCAATGGAAATATAATCTCAAAAAATGAGGGCAGAGTGTGTGTTTATTTCACAGTACAATACCACACCATTTACAAGGTATTTACTTAGAAATTACATGGCAAAGGTTGGTGTTTATGTGAACTGATTCAACTGATGTTATTCCCTTGACAACTTCTTGGCACCACATGGTACTTTTTATTTTTTTTATTTTTTTAGGGGATAGTGTTATGTATGAGATGACGTGCTGTACGTCGTACTGTACGTTGTTATGGTTTACAACAGTGTGCTGCTTTACGGATGAATGGGTTGTGAGAATGAGTGGCACATGTCATTAAACGACAGAGTGATGTACAATGTGAAACTGTGCAGATGTGCGTTCTTCTACAGCTAGGCTAGATATAACATTGGCGACGAAGATGGCTGAATTCAGCTTACCACCGCCAGCACCATTCCTCGCCATGCCTGATGAACCTCCAGTCCCGTGGAATAACTGGCTTGAAAGTTTTAACACTTATCTCGAAGCTATGGACTTTTTCTACAATCTCCGACAAGCGGAGGACAGCACTGCTCCGTCACTGCCTCGGTACAGAGGATTTTCAGAGCGCTTGCATCGGCTCCTACATTCACTGCTGCAGTCAGCCTCCTACGGAACCACTTCGCCGGGAAAGAGCGAGTGCTCCTCCGGAAAAGACACCAACGGCCGGGTGAGTCCATTCAAAGCTACGTGGTTAATCGGAGGGATTTGGCTAGCTCTTGTAACTATGGGACACTTCAGGACGAGATCATCAGGGATCAGTTGATAGAGGGGACATTATGTGAACAGACAAGGGAGAAACTGCTTTTGGAATCGGATAATTTACAACTAGATGGAGCTATTAAAATAGCACTCCAGGTTGAAGCGGCGTTGGAATGCTCTACTATGCTAACAGACAGCTCTGCAGCATACACTCGGCCATTCTCACACAGCAACTTCAGCCCGAGCAGGCGCACTACAACGATCACGTGCTGCGCACGTCGATAGCTGCATGGACACAGACACTGGTATGCCCGTGCAGCAGACACACAGACAAACAAACAGAAGTAGCTGTGGCAACTGTGGGGCTAGCTCTCACAATTCAAGGGCTTCAAACTGCCCAAAAATATGCAAGAACTGTTCAAAATACAATCACTTTGCGAAAGTGTGTTGTTCTGGCCCAGCTACTAGCTCCACCCAGAACAGGCCCTTATTTTCATCTCACTCTCAACATGAACACACGGAAATCTTCAGGTACCCCTCCATGCAGCTGGCAGAGACCTCACAGCCTTTGTTCAGATATACACGCATGCCTTTTGGACTTAGCTCCGCCCCCCGCTGCTTCCAGAAGGTGATGAGCACCATCCTCGCTGGAATACCTGGGGTGGCAGTTTATCTTGATGACATCGTGGTCCACGGCCCTGACCTCCACATCCATGATTATCGACTCCACAGAGTATTCAGTGCTCTACTGCGGAACAACCTGACCCTTAACAGTGGAAAGTGCACCTTTGCAGCTCCAGTCATCAAGTTTGTGGGGTTCCGCCTGTCGGCCAAAGGCATTGCCCCACTCATGTCGAACATTGAAGTCGTCCACCAGATCCCGGTGGCCTCATTCTTGGGCATGACAGCCTACTACCTCCGGTTTCTGCCCCACTACTCTCAGACCACAGCGCCCCTTTGCCAGCTCCTCAAGAAGGACGAGCCATGGTCCTGGACGGCAGCCTGCTCAGATGCGGTCCGCTCACTGAAGAGCCAGCTCACCACAGCCCCAGTCTTGGCTCACTTTGACCCCGTCTGCCCCACCATTGTCAAATGTGACGCCTCTGCTGGAGCACTAGGAGCTGTCCTCTCACAGCTGCAGAATGGCATTGAGAGGCCCGTAGCATTCGCCTCAAGGGCCCTGAGCCCCACAGAACAACGGTACTCTGTGGGCGAACGAGAGGCACTGGCCTGTGTCGGGGCGTGCGAAAGGTGGCACCTCTACCTATATGGCTTGCTGTTCACGCTCCGAACCGACCACCAGTCCCTCACGACGCTACTGTCGGCGTCAGGAACTGGCCACAAGCCACTTCGGCTGCACAGATGGGCCGACCGCCTCAGACAGTATGACTATCAGCTGAAGTTCACTCCGGGGAGGGATAACGTGGTGGCAGACCTCCTCTCACGCTCCTTTGACGCTCCTACTCCGACCGTCTTGCCAGACGACAACGAAACAGAGCTCGTACAAATGCTCTATGCTCCCCTTCAGTCAGTCGTCTCACTGGGGGAGCTGAAGCAAGCATCGGAACAGGATCCCTCACTGTCTACCCTGCGCACCTACATACGCACTGGATGGCCAGCACATGTGCCGGAAGAGCTGGTGACTTTCGCCAGGTTGAAGCACAAACTTTCTTGCTGGGAAGAAGTCTGTGTCTCTCGAGGGTTTTGCACTGTGGTCCCGAGTGGCCTGCGTGCGCGTGTTCTATCCATGGCGCACGAGGTTCACTTGGGCATAGTGAAGGTCAAACAGCGATGTTGAGACCTTGTGTGGTGGCCAGGCATTGACCACGACATTGAAGCCCTGGTCAGGGATTGTGCTGCATGCCTCCTCAGTGGGATAACAGGACAGTCCGCCCCACCCCCCCCCCCCCCTGCAGCCTCTCGCAAGGCCGTCCCGCCCCTGGGAGCACATCCAACTGGACATCTGTGGCGAGATCCATGGACACGCAGTCCCTCACCATCAGCGCTTCCTGGTGGTGGTGTATGACCTCCACTCTAAATGGCCAGAAGTGGTTCCTGTCGGAACTGTCACAGCACAGGCCATCGTGGACATCTTAGACAGCCTGTTCACAAGGTGGGGCCTACCCCTCACCCTTACCACGGACAATGGGCCCCAGCTAACCTCTGCCGAGTTCTCCTCATATCTCAGCAACAAGGGACTCAAACACATCCGCACAGCCTACTACAACCCACAAGGTAACGGAGGGGTGGAACGCTTCAACCAAACGCTGAAGAACGGCATCAGAGCGAACCTGGTCCAGGCGTGCACGTTCCAAACTGCTTTAAATCAAACGCTAATGCAATACAGAGCAAGCAAACACACAACAACACAGGTCTCCCCGGCATCCCTCATGCTAGGTCGTGAGATGGAAATGCCACTGGACAGACTTAGAACACAGAGAGTAGCATAACCGGCGACTAGGCGCACCCAAGAAAAGCAGGCAGTGACCAGGCACCAAAGAGCAATGAAACAGCGTTTCGACAAGGCACACAGGGTGAAGAAGTTGATCATCCAAGTGTCAGACTGGGTCCGAGCCCAAAGGCCTCAGCGGTGCAATAAAATGGCCTCATTCTGGTTGGACCCCTTGCAGGTCAGTCGACAACTGGGGCCCGCCACATTCATGATGGGCAACGGATCACGCTGGCACGCCAGCCGCCTCAGAAAAGTCCAGATGACACAGTGCAGATGACACAGATTTTGACATTTCTTTGGAGTTTCATTAGAATGTATTTAACTTTGCATTGTCAGCAGAAACTGGCCTTTATTGCAGCCTTCTGTATCAGTTCAAATTTCTGTGGATTTCAAAATGGAGTGCTGTGATTAATATAACTTGTTCACTGCGTAAGCATCATACTGGAATGAACAATAATTTCTGCTATGACCCTCTGGTCTCATGATGATAGCGATAATGACCTTCATTGTATACTCTTGAGAGTGTATCTCTTAAAGCTGTATAGGCCTACTGTTTTAACAATTGGTCTTTCATTAGTGCTACTGTTTATGAGCATGACCACTTATCTGTCTGTGACCTTTACTGAACTTAGTGTATTTGCTCGTCTGAGGCTACATGACCATGACCACTTATCCCACGATGTCAGTTTATGACTGTGACATCTGTGTAGAACCATGACCTTGTCTTGTGACTAGGGTTGTGGTGGTCACGAAATTCCGTCAGGCGGTGATTGTCAAGCAAATAACTGTCGGTCTCACGGTAATTGACCGTTAATTATCATAAACACGTTTAGCATTGTGGTGGAAATTCAACACCAGTTCAATTATTAAGAATTGTACATCGTTTCAGAGTAACGAGACATCGTCAACAGAATGTAATCTAGCAGTCTCGCAGGCGTCAAATGAGCCGTTTTTGCCTGTGTAATAATTGCGTGCACAGCATGGGGCACATGGATGGCTAGGGTAGACATAATATCAGAACATGCCAAAACAGCTTCAGTAGCAGCCGCTACCGATGTCAAACAAGAAACCATTCCCCTGATCACACTATCTAATCGTTTAGAATAATAACCAACAGGATACTGTGTCAAAACTGCTGACTTAAACCCACTCGTCTCCGAAACAAAGAGATGGAAGGGTTTATTATGGTCTGCCAACCCCAAGCAAGGGGTAGACATTCATGTTTGTTTCAATTTTACCAATGCAACCTCAGCCTCATCAGTCCAGACCACAACTTCACTCGCATCCATCTTTCTCTCATAAATACAATCCTGCAGCGGTTGAATTATCTCTGCATAGTCTTTCAACCACGGACGACAGTAACCAGCCACACCCAACAAAGACATCATGTGCTGCTTGGTGACAGGTTTAGGCAAAGCTTTAATTGCCTCTAATCTGTCTTTGGAGAGGGCGCGACCCTCAGAAGTAATGTCATGAGCCAAATATTTAACGGAGCTCCGGCATAATTGCATTTTACTCAGGGAAACTTTATGGCCATTTTCTGCCAAAAAATCCACAATGCCCTAGTGTCCTCGTGACATATCTCCTCTGATTGTGAGCAAACCAACAAACCGTCAACATACTGTCACGACCCGGTGCGAGAAACAGTCACTAATAATTGTCAGAACCCAGAAGATGAGGCAGACACAGCAGTACTAGAGATGGTGGTTTAATAAAGAACAAAATCTTCAGGCAAAGAAACTAAATCCACAATGTCCAAAAATAAA